CACCCATTCACCCCACAAACATGTTGTTAAAGATTACGGAGGAACTTGCTGAACTCAGACGCGTTGGGTCCAAAAGTGCGGACATTGCAGCCCAAATTAAAACCCAACAACAACAACAAAGTGCCAACCAGCTTTTTAAGGGTGAGCACAGAAAAAGAAAAAAAACAGAAGAAAAAGAAGAAGAAGATGATGAGGAGGAGGAGGAGGAAGAGAAAGACAAACAAATGTATGTAACATAGGAATCATAGGAAGAATGAGCAATCTATCATCTTCAAGTGCTTTGCCGACTGGCATGGGCGGAATTGCCTGGTAGTGAAAGAGTTTTCTCTACGATCACCCTCTCATGCACACAAACTTTACAATGGCAGCAGTAGGCTGTACATCCTAACTGTATTATCTATCTAAGCAAATGCAAATACTGGACTAATGGCACTGAAGCTTTTCAATAAATTATAACAATGAATCAATCAAGATCTGACATAAATGCACTTGGGACAGTCCCACAGGTGCTCCTTCTCCTCCCTTAGTAGCCAACCAAGAGTCGCCACGCTAACACCGTCACCTGCAACCTGATTTAAAAAGCAGTAACATGTTTTTCGCTCGGTGTTGAATATCTTCGGGAAAACATTAGTCTCTGCTTCTTCTTCTTCTTCTTCTGAGCTGTGAACTCCGACTGAAAGCTCTGGTTAACTTGTCCACTTCCCGATTTAAAATGTCTTATTCCAGAAACTAAATTGTCTGTGCACATCAATTTTACAATCCGGCTTACTTGAATGCAGACCTCTCAGGCAGACGCTCTTCAACTTTGCGGAAAACCCAACTGGAAACTTTGGTACTTAATTTATAACTTACCCCTGACGTCACGACAACGTCACGGGAGACATTCCCAATAAATTCTAGGGTGTTCAGGTTGTAGTTTCTCGCGATTTATCTACAGCCAAGTTTAGGGTTAGGGTTAGGGTTAGGATTAGAAGACACTAGATGAACACTCAAAAAAAAGCACCACACAACAGCACACTTCTACCCCTTGAAATAATGGACTGTCAGGTCAGCTGTGGATTTCCCACGGGGATTTCCTGTTTGGGGTACGTTATAAATTAAGAACCGAAACTTTTTACGACACGAAGGGGGGATGGGGACTGTGGGTTTATTCCCCCCCCCCCCCCCCCTCCCCAATGTGGCCATAGAACCCACACAGAGAAAAACAAACTTTTTTTTTTTTTGCCATTTGCATAAAGCTATTATGCCTTGTTTTGGTAGTACTGACTAGCTCTCTTGCCCAACAACCCAGAGGTGATGTTTTCAAATCTTCCTCGAGTGGAGATTAAGTCATCTGGATTTCCAGATCAACCCGGCCTTTAAAAAAAGTTACCAGAAAATTGTGTGGGAAGTAGAGGTGACCAATATGATACTGATCATAGCAACTATCAAGTGCTCACTGGTTTATCAAAAAAATAAAATTTAACAAAACAAAAAAGAGATTAGCACTAGCTACCAAATACAAGATATTGGAAATGTGTTCTTCATTTGATTGTTACAGTGACTCGCACCAAATACTCACTCAATGTCAGGGGTTGAAAGGTTTCTTTACTTCACTGTTACGTCTTTGTTTGTGTCTGATGATTGATAAAGGTCTTTCTATGCTTTGTTATGTTATCAATTCATGTTGAACATTCCTATGACTGCCCAATCTTCCAAATCAACAGCCACTTCAGGGTACCTCTACTGAATGTTCCTATGAGAGGTTGCTTACAATGTCTCCTATCTTTACGGTAGGGAGGTGCTTACCCCGGTGTCATGTAATCATGTTAGCCTGAGAAATGTATCATCATTTGACATCATCAGCTTCGTCGACGCAGATAATTGCTGTGATACTGTTTATGTGTACAGTGATCTTCCACACATCAAAATTACCCTATTACTCATCTGATATTTCTTTTCCACACACAACCCCACTTTTGGTCATACTCATCATCATCCATTTCCACTTCTGCCATTAAGCGTTGTGGGGAGGAACAGTCTGTGATCCACTGTTTGATGGGCAGCAATGACTACTGTCATTCCGTGTCGATGTATAAGCTCTTTAATGTCATCAATCCATGTTCTCCTAGGGTGACCTCTAGATCCACTGCAGATCTTTTCATGTGTAGCGCTTGCATTGGTAGCTGTCTAACTGCATTATGACTTGATGACCAAACTATTTTGGTTTTCTGTTCCTCAATGAATTAGCTGTGTTGTTCCTACAGTCTGTCTGGTAATATCATTTCTAAATTTGTATTGGAATGTTTGGTGGTATTTCTCAGGCATCTCATGTTAATTTAACGTAGGTTAGAGTTTGATAATGTCCATGTCTGGCACTGGTAGCACAGTGTTGGTATGAATATGCTGTATTTAATCTGTTTCTTGCCGCTCATACTTACATTTGCATGTCTTAACAACGGTGTCAGATGGTTTATAAGTGCACTGGCTCACTGGCATCTTGTTTCTGTTGCCCGATCTATTATCCCATCCTCTGAGAATATATTTCCAGGATATTTACATTCTTTTACTTGCTTCATTCTTTTTTACTAAACACTGAGTCCTGTCAAGGTCACAAATAGGATTGTGCACATATGGTCGCCACCAGTCCCCCATAGCTTCTCTTGCAATGTAGCTCCCTTGGGCTAGATTCTCAGTCTTTGCTGGGAGAAGTTAGGGCAGTACTGCAGTATGTGTTCAGGGGTCTGTCTTTCTGCTCCACAATCACAGACAGCAGATTTTTTGTATGCCTATCCTGTACAGGTGTGCTCAAAGACCACAGTGTCCTGTCCTAAGTCTAAAATTTTATGTTTGTTCTTTCCTGTTAAATTTGTTTACGCTTCTTCTTTGACTACCCGCGTAGTGTTCTTGTTTGGCTTCCCATTTACCATGTTGCTCTTGCAGTCTGACCATGGTTGCAGATTCACAGTTCTCAGTTGTTTCACGCAAATGTCTTAACTCTCTTAGAACATTCAGTATATCAGCCTGGTCCATGGCTTGTCCAGCTTTCACAGTAGCCTTACCTGCAAGCCTATCAGCTAGATAACATGCCTTAACCTTCTCGTTCTGAGGAGGAGCAAAACACAGCACTTCCAGTTTGTGCCACAGCCCCGTAAGCGTCCCTTTCCTGGCTTGTTACCGAGGCCTCTTTTCGAGCAGCTCCACTAACAGCATTGCTTGTTTTTAGCCCTGGGAAACTGTCATGAGTGACCGGTAACTAGCTCCTTGTTGAAGATGACTTTATTTTTAGAAATGAGGGCATCGGAATTTCCCGTAGTTACAGCGGTTACCAGCGGCTGGGTCACACGGTCAAGAGTGGTCCACGCTAGCAAATTTTGTAACCAGTCGACTATATGCCCCATTCGTGTTTTATTGATTACTCTCGTTATTTGGTTTGCAATTAATACTATTTTGATCCATAACTGGAACTTTCTTCTTTTTTTTCCGTGACTTGTGTAAAATGTTTTTTTAAGGAATATTTTTTTTTTGGGGGGGGGGGAATTCCAGAAATATGGGTCTTTGGCACTGTTCCTTTTTTTATTAGTTCTAGGTAATAAGGGTGAAAGGGTTAAAAAAAAAAGCCATCTTTCAGACAGTGGTGTGAGTCACACAGGGGAAGATATGTGCCTTAGCACATATTTCCACTGACAGGTAAGGAAGTACTTTTCTACCGCAGACAGCCTCCTTTGTGAAGGCAGCAGTCACAACAACAACAACAACAACATGCCTTTGCAGTGACCCCACAACAGTTACACAAGGCAGGATATATCAAAATATAACTTCTACACTGTAGCAAAACAACTGATAATCATCAAGATCATCGTTCAGTCCCCCGTGTGGGTTCTGGGGTCCCATTGTGGAGAAAACAAGAATAGACCCACTGCCTCCCCAACAAGCATGTCATAATATTTCACTAAATGAGGGCTCCCTTCCAAGTCAGAGTGCATCTGCCTGACAGGCAAGGAACCAACAGTCTGCATACCAAAAAAATTTAGATCTGAAAAACAGATGTGCAATGCAACACTCAGGTTCTGGAAGAAGACTAAAAGTCCAGAGGTGGACGAACAACCAGAACTTTCCACTGGTGTTAACAGCCGATGAATGTGAAAAATAAAGAAGGATTATTTCGTTGTGCCATCCGTCACATGTCACACAGGGCTTGCAGTTTATTCCTCCTTTCCCTTCTTTCCTTTGCAGTTTATCTGACATCATGAATATGATCATTGCAGCATCTTTCTTTCACCTTTCATCAATGTTCACAGTGGGAATCTCCTGGAAGTTCTTATTCCCTCAGTCCTTTTGTTCCCCCTTTCAGTGCCTGTCTAGTGATTCTCTGGTGGTTCGCTACTCCTCAGGGTGTGCCCAAAACAACACCATCTGCTCTCACAACTGTAGATACCAGCGGTTGTCAAGGCATTTTTTTTTTATTTCTGTGCCTGTCTTGAATTCATCCTAATTTAATTCTAATGAATCCTCCCAGGTTTTAGTTTTTGAAAGTATTTACCCTCAGTTCCATGCCGGGAATGTCTCTCCTGTCGGCGTCTCTGGCTTGGGCGGTGTGAGTGAACTGCGTAATGCCGTTATGCTGGGTTCGATCCCAGGCCATATGCCATCACACCAACTTGTGATAGCTTTGACAGTGGTATCAAGAGCAGATCATTCAGAAAGCAATGGCCAACTACTAAACGTAAAACTGCCGAGAGAGAAATTACAAACAGAAACAGCAACAAAATGCTGGGGGTTGGTTCTGCAATGTTATGTAAAGGATACACAACTAACTTAAACTGACTGAATGGTTCTCAAGCTGTCACTGGCATAAGTTACAACTGAAATAACATTAAATACGACAAGCATTATCAATTATCTTTCATATCTCTCATTTCTGATTAAATTATTTTGATAACAAAAAACAACAATCCATCAGAAACACCATCTAGTCTCCTCTCAACATCCGTTTGTTGACCTTGCAGCGTGAACTTTTCTCAACTCGGTTTAATAGGCACAAGTTCAATAACGGGTCCGTTGTCAGTATTACTATAAATAGGCACAAAAACCTGGTTGAGCACAATGGATTCGGGACTAGCGCCTGGTACGATGGAGATAGGAATACCCTTCTGTATCGCCGAGGTTAACGTACCGTCCCCAGGAACTGGTACCCTCTTTGGTAAAGAGCCGATGGAAAGAGTACTAGGACCTTGCGAGGATCCGATGAGGAGGTTACCAACACAAGGGCACTTGAGAATCACTGGAGGAGTTTGGATCTTAGAGGATGTCTGTGGTGATGATGAAGCTGGAGATGATGCTGCCTGACCCTGGTCACAGACCGTGGGTACAGACAGAGACTCAGAAGCAGAGGTTGCAAGTGAGTCCGTCAAATATGACAAGGATGCTCTACCATTGTGATCAACATTTTGACCTCTGTATGTAACCCCCAAATTCTGCTGGCTGCTCAAAGTTCTCTGCACTGATAACCCTAAGAGGGCTGCCAAGTCGGCTAAGGTACTGGTGGTGATTGTTTGAACTGACTGCGGACCTTGAGTAAAGTTAGCTGGAAGCCCTACTCCATTACTCACTAATATGGATGCTTCAGTTCCTAAACCAGGTTGGTTCGGAATTAACGTCTGTGACAGAAGAGGAACAGAAGGACCTGAAACACCTGCCAATGCCTCGTTGTTAGTGGAGATCTGAGGTGTGGGGGGAAGAGTGCTGTGTGCATCAGCTACCGAAGAAGCTGCACTAGAAGTGGAGATATGATGCTCTTGTGCGAGGTTGCCCACCATGACAGAAGCCAACGAGGACAACAAGGATGGGTCCTGGAGTAGAACAGAACTGGGTATCTGGATGAATGCCTTGTCGTTCCCTTGGAACATGATCATGCTGTTGGTGTTGAGGATGTTTCGAGTCAGCTCTGAGTTGAGCTGCTGGAGGTTGGACGCTGAAGCTGTGGGTGTCAAGAGATTTTTTCCACTCTCACTCTCATGACAGACACCTCCCTGAGCTTCAGCGGCCATGAGCTGAGAGATCACAGCTGGCTGCTGCAGTTGCTGGATGAAGCCAGGGTGTTGGGGAAGGTGGATATCTGGAGCTGGGTTGACTGGCTGGTCAGCGGGCAGGGTTACTATACCAGGTAAGTCAGTGATCGCTGGCTGATCTATGCATTGTTCAAGTGGAATGACTGGTTCTATTAGCTCCTGAATCACACCAGATGACATTCCTAGAGGACAAAGAGACAACCAATATAACAGCTAATAAAATCATTAATAAACCACAAATATTCATGAACTGATGTCTGCGCAGAATAGAGGGAATTAAATAGTATGACAGAATTACTAATACTGAGCTTTGGAAGAGAAATAAACAAATGGTAGTGAATAGAAAGGTGGGGGAAATGTGCTGCAGTTGTTTAGGACACAGTGACCTGATAAGAAAATAACAATAACAATAGAAACAATTGAGTTTTTTCTTTCATTTACAACAATAAAGACAGACCATAGAAAATGAAATTAGACAGTTAAGTTAAAAACATAAGGAGGACGGACATGGGGTGAACAAGAGGCGATAGCAAATGACAGGAAACTTAGTAAGAGTTAGATGAAGGTCTTGGCTCAACTGTGGGATAAAGGACAGAGCGAAGAAGAAGAAAAAGAAGAAGAAGAAGAAGAAGAAGAAGAAGAAGAAAGAGAACAATACTTTATATTTTCAGGCAGCAGCGACACATTCAAGATTTCAACAAGAACAACACAACCAAATCTCAGTCAAAGGTTAAAGGTTAAAGTTGACAGGATTGACTTTACTGCACCAGGTTTTATCCCTATGGCTCGGTGTCTCTCTCCACAGAGCGGATAGCCGCCTACCAAGAGTGTCACACAAAGCACGAACTCCATAGCTCCAGCAAGGATTCCCAGGGACTCTGTAATAATCTCAGTACCTCATTCTCGTTCAAGTAAACATTCTAGCCCCACTTACGTGCTGTAGCCAAGCCCTCCAGATATTTGTCTCTCTGTCTTCCCCTTATTTTTTTCCCATAAAGCGTACCAGCTGTCACCAAGTACAAGTAGATTTCTTCTCATACCATGTGCACACATACCATGTGCACACATACAATGCGACTGTAGAAGTGTATCTTATTTCTCTGATCACACTACAAGTTTCTGCTGTCCCGCAGCCGACACATGGCACTCTAGTCCTGGGCTCACTCTAGATATTCATCTCTGTCTTCCTCTTCTTCTTTTCCCACAAAGTTTGCATGTTGTCACCAACCCTGAGGTTTTTTCCTCATAATATGTCACATGAAAACTGAATATCCAGCATATTTTATTTCTTTAATCATACAATATATGTAATAAACATTCAGACAATATGCTGATCAGCATTCATAGAAAGAAGTAGAAAGATAAAAGGACACACCAGGCAACATAAAAATCAAAAGCTAAAGTTACCGTGCCGGGAATCGAACCTGTCACCGTCAAACGGTGTGTGCGCCTCACTATGAAAACAAGTGTGTGTACTGAGAACATGACCAACTAGGTACCCCCAAAAGAATCATACTACGAGTTTCTGCTGTTTGCCCCCCCCCCCCCCTCCCATCTGTAATCAAATCAGTAACCCCTATGATCATGGAAATACATACCCCACTTGCTCATTCTGTATAAATTCACTGTCCACATCCACACCTTTAAAATGAACTAGATCTACACAAATCAGAGGGAGGCATCACACCTCTAAGCCAATTTGCCCTAATATACTTTTTTTTTCCCGAACTTGAGTTTTGCATTCATAATTATTTTACACATCCTTCTTAATTATATGCAGGCTGTTGGTTAATCACCTCTCAGGCAGATGCACTCTGACTTCGAAGGAAACATCCATAACTGGTCAACTTTTATGGCATGCTTGTGAGGGAGGCAGCAGTGGGTCCCCCCCCCCCCAAACACATGGTGCCCCAGAACCCACACTGGGACCCCATTTAATAAACCGATCACCTTCACAGCATGAGGCAAAAAGCATGACCCCTTCGCCACAAAGGTCCCCCCCCCCCCCCCCCACGTCTGCGGGGGTGAAAAAAAAAGAGAAAGAAGAAACTTACCATCCTGACAGCAATCAACGTGCTGGTGGGTGTAGCTCTCATTGACCACTTGAGGAGCATACATAGAAGTGATCAACTCTTCTACGCTCACGTGTTCACAGCGCTGCAAGCAATTCAACCGGAAAAAAAAATTAAGGTTATCTTTTGTTATTCAACTCCCTTCCTCAAACAATGAACATTACTACAAGCAAATATGTTATGTTTTCCTCTTCTTATTCTTCTGAGTTCATCCGAAGATGTATGCATTGTGCCCGTTTACAACATAGCTTCTTCAGGCCCTTGCCTTCCAGGTTACCTCTTCTGGTTAGTTAAGTTGAACACTGCAGTCTCAATGTTGTATGGTCATCTGTGTTTCCTAGTTAACTTTTAGTTTCCCATTTATCTTTTTTCCTCTTCCTCTTTACATTGTTTTTTCATCCTCTTCTTCCATCTTCCCTCTTCCAGACCGGTAGACAAAATTGGTAACTGGGTTTACAAGTAAACATCCAGAAAAGAAATCTCAGCTACTCAATTTGGAACATGAGTTGAGTCACAGCATTCAGGGCATTCCCATGTGTGCTCCATCCTTATCTTTAGTAGCCAGAGCAGAGTTCCAATACTGATGGTACAGGTCACAATCTAGTTATATGTCTGTCTTGCCCTTCCTCTGAGTGTAGTGAGCCAGCCAGACCCTCTGGTCACACCCAGATGCCTCATTCTCTCCAGGCCATAATAATCTTGTTTCTCTACTGATAAGTTGGAACATGAGCTTCCATGCAATCACAGGGGCAGCAAATATTCGACCAATATAATCTCATTCTTAATATGAAAACAAAAACGTTTTCATAGCACCAGGAAATTTGTGGAAGTCAAAGGAAAATAAATTTAATATTCAACTCAAACTTTTAAATTGTAATGTCAAATCAGTACTGCTGTATGGGGCCTCCTCGTGTGGGCTCTGGGGCCCCATTGTGGGGGGAACAAGAATAGACCCACTGCCTGTCCAAAGGCATGCCGTAGGAGTCGACTAGTTGGGAGCTTCCTTTGAAGTCGGAGTACATCTGCCTGAAAGGCAAGGAACCAACAGTCCGCATGCAAATTATTTAGGCCTGTGAAATGGATGTGCACACAACACTCAGGTTCTGGAACAGGACTAGTCCAGAAGTGGGCAAGCAACCAAAACGTTCTGCCCGAGTTTACAGCCGGTAAACGTGAAAAAGATGGAGCAGAAACACAAAGAACTAAAATAATTGCTAATAAATTATGAAGATTTATTATCTGGGGATTGCTCAGAAAACAGGAAATCACATGGTATGATAAAATGACTAATATTAAGCTTTGAGAGAGACTTTTCAAATGCTGGTGCTGGATAGGACAAGGCTTAGAAAACTTAACAATATAACTAGAATGGCTTTACTCTGGAACCCACTGGAGCTCAGAAATAAGGGCTGAGTAAATTTTACAAATTAACTACTTAAAATATTAACAAATATGTCAGAGATAATACACAAATTTGCAGCACATGCAGGAGCCTCTCTTGGCAGTGGTGAAACGTCACAAGCTAGCTTGGTTAAGGCATGTGGTAAGACACGATTCGTTTGCAAAGACTGTACTTCAAGAAACACTGGGGACAGTCGAAGAAGAGGAGGGCAAAGAAGAATACAGAATGACAACACCAAGAAATGGACAGGACTAAGTCATCATACACTTGTTCAACAAGCAGAAGATAGAGAAAGCAGACTTTGTGTGTTAGTGCATTGATCGATACACATCCACGACCCTGACATGTCAAGGGTTATGTTATGTTATTCTTCAAAACCTGATGCACATAGGCAGAACAAGTCTAGAGAAGATCTTAAATGTGTAAGCCGAATTAAAAACTTTTTCTTTTTCTTCACGTTCACCAGCTGGCAGAAAGTTCTGGTTGTTCATCCTCTTCTGGACTGCAGTCCTGTTCCAGAACATGAGGTTGCATGTGCATCAATTTTACAGATCTGACTCATTTGTATGCAGACTGTTGGTTTCTTGCATCTCAGGCAGATGCACTCCGACTTCGAAGCAAGCTCCCAATTAGTCGACTCTTATGATATGCTTTTTGGGTAGGCAGTGGGTCTATTCTTGTTTTCCCTGTAACAGGGCCCCGGAACCCACACGGGGAGAACATAAACAAAAAACATAAGGAACATCACAAACAATTAATTAAATGAATATTCAGTCAGGAACACCATTAGGAATGAGAGGCACACCAAACACTGACAGGCTAACAGAATTTCAGAATATATTCTAAGCATGCAGAATGCAATAAATCGCTCTCATTCAATGTCAGAAAGAGGGTGCTAAATTGTTACATAGAACCTGTTCAGCTGTGTGGCAGCGAATCTTGGAATGTCAGTGAACACATTAGGAAAAAATTAAAAGCAAAAGAAATGTGGTTTCTGAGACGAATGTTACGAATACCTTGGACAGCCAGAAAGAATTGCTTGAAAGAAGCTAATAAAAGTAGATCTCCATATACAACAATAAGAAAGAGACAAACACTGTTCTTTGGCCACATAATGAAAAAAGAGACATTGGAGAACATCGGGACAACTGGAAAGATCGGTGGAAAAAGAGGTAGAGGCAGACCAAGAGAGATTATGCTGGATGGGCTGAAACGATGGCATGGAGGGATATCATCAAGAGAGCTGCCCCAGGCAACCGGGGATCTTGATCCGTGGAGACGCATGAGTACCCATGGCAGTTAGCAAGGCCCATGATGATGAAGATGCTACGTCTGTGTCACGTGACATACCTGATGATGACACTCTAGCTTCCCTGCCGTCACCGCCTCGGATGAATCCATCAACATCACGTGTGGCATGGCTAAGAGATCAGAATTCTGGCTGCTACTGGCAAATTCAAACTGTGGCCCTGCAGAATCTGTGCATGACAAAACAAACTGTTAGTTGTGTGTGCTTTACAGGATGTTTCAGAACCAATCCCAGTACTTTTGTGATTGAATGTTGAATTAAGAATTCGACATAGTACTTTCGTGAGTGAATGTTGAATGTTGAATTAAGAATCGACATAATACTTTTGTGAGTGACTGTTGAATGATGAATTAAGAATCGACATAGTACTTTTGTGAGTGAATGTTGCATGTTGAATTAAGAATCGACATAGTACTTTTGTAAGTGAATGTTGAATTAAGAATCGACATAGTACTTTTGTAAGTGAATGCTGAATGATGAATTAAGAATCGACATAGTCTTTTGTGAGTGAATGTTGAATGCTGAATTAGGAATCGACACAGTACTTCTGTGATGTCACTAGGCAATTTTACATTCAGTGGCCTTCTGAAAAAAAAAAATGTCAATACCACTGCGGAAACCAACACAAGCTGGTCTGCTGCAATATTTCCCGCAGCTGAAATCAAACATGCCGCCATTGAATTACCAACAGTAATTGCACTGGTAAGCCTCAGTGGTTGACTGTGTAAGCCTGACACACCGTTAGGTCAACCGGTGGTACTCACTATCTGCCAAATTTATACATACATTTTTTTTTTACAAAAACCACCACCACAACAAACGCATCGAGAGAGTGACAGAGAGAGAGAGACAGACAGACAGACAAGTAGGCAGGCAGACAGACAGGCAGGCAGGCAGACAGACAGACAGAATGCCCCTTTGGCAGTATGAAACTGGATATTTAACTCCAGCCCTAAGCAGCACATCATATATGATCAAATATTGCCACTTGTATATTGAAGTATGGTGAGTTACTGCAACTTTTACATTTGGTCTGAAGCATATGAAGGAAATTTGGCTAGCTTTTTTTTTTTACAACTGAGAAAAGTATGTGTTGCCCCTCTTCCCTCTGTGTGTTTTTATATATGACAGCTTTTGCATTCATATGTACGAGCGTGTGTATTCAGGTATGTGTGAGTGTGCATAAGTATGTAAGTACACATATCCGTACGAATAAGCCACACATCCTTTTGTGTATTCTGCTTGACACTGAGACACCGTGGTCTTGTGGTTAGATGCTCGCCTGCAGACCGGAAGGTCCTGGGTTAGGATCCTGACAGGGGCCAAACTTTTTGAGGGGGGCCAAACTTTTTGAGGAAGGCCAAACTTTTTGAGGGGGGCCAAACTTTTTGAGGGGCGCCCGTGGCTTAGGCGTTGCGAGTTCTACTCGTAATTCCAACATACAGTGATCGAAACCTGCTGCTTGCTGCATGGTTTTTTTATCATGGTGTGGGGCGTTGCAGGTCGATAAAATGAGTACCAGGATGTATGTCTGAGGAAGTAAAGACGGCCGGTGTAATGCTGGCCACATTACACCCCCCCCCCCACTCTTCTTTTTTTTTTCTACACTTAGTGTGTATCTTTCCTTCAACACACAATCCAGTAATGACATGACACCTGGGTTATGAGGTGCAAAGCGGTCAGAAAGCCATGAAGGCAGGTCTGTATGCAGTTACACAGACCCAAGCAGCAATGAGACATGAGGGTATAGTGGCATGCAAGTATTGAAACAAAAGGGTAGAGTGGTAAGAGACTTGAAGGTAGAGTGGTATGAGACATGAGAGTGGAATGGTATGAAATATGAGGGTAGAGTGGTATGAGATGTGAGGGTAGAGTGGTATGAGATGTGTGGGTAGAGTGGTATGAGACATGAGGGTAGAGTGGTATGAGACATGAGGGTAGAGTGGTATGAGACATGTGGGTAGAGTGGTATGAGACATGTGGGTAGAGTGGTATGAGACATGTGGGTAGAGTGGTATGAGACATGAGGGTAGAGTGGTATAAGACATGTGGGTAGAGTGGTATTAGACATAAAGGTAGAGTGGTATGAGACGTGAGGGTAGAGTGGTATGAGACATGAGGGTGGAATGGTATGAAACATAAAAGGTAGAGTGGTATGAGACATGAAGGTAGATTGGTATGAGACGTGAGGGTAGAGTGGTATGAGACATGAGGGTGGAATGGTATGCAACATGAGGGTAGAGTGGTATGAGACGTGTGGGTAGAGTGGTATGAGACATGAGGGTAGAGTGGTATGAGACATGAGGGTAGAGTGGTATGAGATGTGAGGGTAGAGTGGTATAAGACATGAGGGTAGAGTGGTATGAGACATGTGGGTAGAGTGGTATGAGACATGTGGGTAGAGTGGTATGAGACATGAGGGTGGAATGGTATGCAACATGAGGGTAGAGTGGTATGAGACATGAGGGTAGAGTGGTATGAGACGTGTGGGTAGAGTGGTATGAGACATGAGGGTAGAGTGGTATGAGACGTGAGGGTAGAGTGGTAAAAGACATGAGGGTAGAGTGGTATAAGACATGAGGGTAGAGTGGTATGAGACATGTGGGTAGAGTGGTATGCAAGTATTGAGCATGGGGCTGGATAGGTATAATGACAGGCAAGCTACCAAGAAATGTAGAGTATGGTTATGTAAAGTGAAGTTAATGACAGTAAAGTAAAATAATGGAGAGTAAGGTGAAGTGAAGTGAATGACAGTAAAGTAAAAAGAAATGGAGAGTAAGGTGAAGTAGAGTGAATGACAGTAAAGTAAAATAATTGAGAATAAGGTGAAGTGAGGTGAATGACAGTAAAGTAAAATAATGGAGAGTAAGGTGAAGTGAAGTGAATGACAGTAAAGTAAAATAATGGAGAGTAAGGTGAAGTTAATTAAAGTCAAGTTAAATAATGTAGAGTAGGGTAAAGTGAAGCGACTGAAGTCAAGTTAAACGATGTAGAGTAGGGTAAAGTGAAGTGAATTAAAGTAAAATAAAATAATGTAGAGTCAGGTAAAGTAAAGTTAATTAAAGACAAGTAAAATAATGTAGAGTAAGGTAAAGCTAAGTTACTTAAAGTAAAGTAAAATAATGCAGAGTAGGGTCAAGTGAAATGAATTAAAGTATAATAAAATAATGTAGTGTAAGAAAGTGAAGCGAATTAAAGCAAAAGTTTAAAAAAAAGCCTTTGTCAGCCCAAAGCATACCGGGCAGATGATACTAAACATATCTTTGGCAGACCTATCGGCACTTGATGGGTGATGTAGTCAACATCATGCTAACCCCCACTGCTTCAAAGGACCTTGTCCAAAACCCATTTTAGGCCAGGTCAACATGATAGCCAAGATAATTTTTGATAACTCTGCGACTCGATGCGCGATTGACCCCAAGACCTTCAGGCTGGCAAGCAAGCATCTAGCCGCTACACCACTGCAACTGCCAAGCTAAAAAGTTGACAGGTATAAAGGATGCAATCAAAGGATATTAGGCAGACCAATCCCTGTGTGGGTTGCGGGGCCCCACTGTAGGCCAAACAAGAATAGACTCACTGCTTCCCCAACAAGCAAGTCATAGAAGTCGAATAACTGGGGGCTTCCTTCAAAGTCAGACTGCCCGAGTGGCAAGAGACAACCAGCTGCACACAAAAAAGCCAGTAAAATGGATGCACATGCAAAACTCAGGCTCTGGCACAAAGCCAGAAAGTCCAGATGGATGAACATCTAGGACTTTCCACAGGAGCTTAAAGCCATTATCATCATGTAGCAGGTCCTTTGCAGAATGTCGCTCTCATCACGGTCTGCCTGAGAGAAACTCGGACTCTCGCCAGCTCTCCCGCCTCATGTACTTACATACTCCAGGAGTCACTTATATCCTGTGCCCATCTTTGTGTTGGTCAGCCCCTCCTTCCTAATACCATGCCTTCTGTTATTAGTTTTTCCAATCCGTTGTTGCGCTTGGTATGATCCAAATATTTCTGCTTCAGAGACAGGATGCTTTTTATTAGCCAATTTTCCCTGATGATCAGATCTTTCAAGATGTCAGTATTTCTTCTCTTCTTTGTCCAAGATATTCTGATAATCTTTCTATAGCATTTCAGCTCAAAAGCACCTATTCTCTTTTTTAGCTATTCACTAGCTTACAGCCAGTGAACGAAAAAGAAGAAGAAGGTAGACCAAAAGAGTTGAAACTTTTACCTTTCTCTTTATCAGAGTCCTTCTCATGCCTAGACACGTGTGCCTTCAACCCATAGACTGAAGTAAACGCCTTGCAGCAGCCGCCTTGTCTACACTCATAGGGCTTGTCACCTGGTCCCACAATAAACAACATTTCATATTTAATCAAAAGAATCAAAAACATTATAGCACTCCGGAAATTCCCACTTATGTGGGATGGATTAGGTTTAGATGACGGATCAACATCATGGCACAAGGCTAGTAACCCATAAGAGCATCTTTTCTACTTCTGACCCAAGCCCGAGTCCGAAGAATCTCAGCAAAGTGCACAAACTCCGTAGCACCGGCGAGGATCCTGAAAATACTTTGGGTAGATTTTCAACTCTACATTTTTTGCCCAGGCAGCGCCGTTAGGCTACTTTTTTCAATTTCCAGCTGCCAAGGGATTTCTTTCTACACGCGCAACATGGGTGTTTGATCTTACTACCTAGAGACCAGGGTAAATTACCAGAAGTCCACGTGAAAAAAAAAATCCCAGCCTTCATCGGGACTTGAACCCGGTACCTCTAGGACTCAAGGTGGACACCATGCCTCAAGACCCCCCCCCCCCCCCCCCCTTTCAACTGTGTGCAGTTTGTTGTTTTGTAGGTTGCATTTAAACAGCTTCTTGTCCGTCTAAAGCCCTCTTGGGGCCTGATCCCACAATAAACAAAAATATTTTATTACAAGAACCGACACTACAGCACTCAGAATTTTCCCAGAAGCGTTCTGTCCCCATCTTCAGCAGCAAGCACAGAGTTCCAATTCTGATGCTACCAGTAACAGATTGTATATTTTCCCCCTGAGAGTTGAGTGTCGGCCACATCCACTGGTCACTCCTCTGTATATTTTCCCCCTGAGAGTTGAGTGTCGGCCACATCCACTGGTCACTCCTCTGTATATTTTCCCCCTGAGAGTTGAGTGTCGGCCACATCCACTGGTCACTCCTCTGTATATTTTCCCCCTGAGAGTTGAGTGTCGGCCACATCCACTGGTCACTCCTCTGTATATTTTCCCCCTGAGAGTTGAGTGTCGGCCACATCCACTGGTCACTCCTCTGTATATTTTTCCCCTGAGAGTTGAGTGTCGGCCACATCCACTGGTCACTCCTCTGTATATTTTCCCCCTGAGAGTTGAGTGTCGGCCACATCCACTGGTCACTCCTCTGTATATTTTCCCCCTGAGAGTTGAGTGTCGGCCACATCCACTGGTCACTCCTCTGTATATTTTTCCCCTGAGAGTTGAGTGTCGGCCACATCCACTGGTCACTCCTCTGTATATTTTTCCCCTGAGAGTTGAGTGTCGGCCACATCCACTGGTCACTCCTCTGTATATTTTCCCCCTGAGAGTTGAGTGTCGGCCACATCCACTGGTCACTCCTCTGTATATTTTCCCCCTGAGAGTTGAGTGTCGGCCACATCCACTGGTCACTCCTCGTATCGCCATTCTCCTCAGACAAGGATGAGTTATCTGTGCTCCCCCACTGTTCACAGTAAACCAAAATGTGCATTGAAATGAAAGCACAGCCAGAAGTTAGAAACACTGATGACTGTCGAAACAAATTCTACTCATTTTTCTTAGCATTCACTGGCTGTGAACTGTGGTGGAAAGTTCTGGTTGTTGATTGACTGCCAGCATTTTGGTTTTGTTCCAGAATTTGAGTCTTGCGTGCACATCCATTTCCCAAAACTTGAGTTATCTGTATGCAGACAATGTATTGATGTATGATGGTTCCTTGCCTCTGAGGCAGATACACTCTGGCTTCGAAGGAAACATCCCTAATCTGTCGCCTTCTAAGACAGGTTTGTTAGGGAGGGTGCAGCAGAACTATTCTAACCCCCCCCCCCCCCAATCCCCCGCCACACCCCAATCCCCCGCCACACAATGGGGCCCCAGAACAACTATAGAGACAATTTATTTAAATCTGCACTGAGGCAGTTTTTTTTTGTTTTTTGTTTTTAAACTGGCCTTTTCTTCTAGGTCATTCAGCCTTAAAATGGCTACCAGGTAAAGTCCTGTGAAGTAATGGAGGCTGGCGTGATGTTGGCCACATTACCCATTGGGTGCCGATTGGCCCATACAAATACAGCTCTAGGACTATGTGCCCGATATGCTACTGGCCTGAAAAGGGTCTTATATGTTGTTGTTTTTTTTTTTACTTCTACCAAATGCCTCATGTGCCAATGAAATGAAAATGTCGTATACTCATTAATTTTTTTAGTTTTTATTTAATAACAGCTTCCTGTTGGTCTACACTTCCTAACATCCCCAAGAATGTTATCTGGCATTCACGGAAGAAAGAGGCATTGCACAGGCATTCATCATAATCCAAGCAGTAGATGTGACTGCAAAGACTGTGCTTAAAGGAACACTGACGGGGGTAGTCGAAGAAAAGAAGGGTAAAGAAGAACCTGGAATGAAACATCAAGAAATGGGCAGGACTAAGTTATCATACACTTATTCATCAAGCGGAAGACAGAGAAAGATGGCGGGTTTTGTGTGCTTGTGCATCCATCGATACACCTCCACGACCCTAACGGGTCAAGGGTTATGTTATGTTAGGTTAAGTAGCAGGTTTACAATCAGGTACTACAGCAGATGTATGATGCTCTAGTTCTGGCAGGACATGGAGGAGGAGAAGGTTACCAAAACATATAAAGAATTGTATGAGTGAACTCACCTGTGTGAATTCGATTGTGTGACTTCAGATGATGGCTGGCAGCAAAAGCCTTGCCACACCCGTCTTCATGGCATCTGTGAAAATGGTGTTTTTAATCAATTAACTCTTCACTATTTTCAGTGCTATTTTTATCACATCCTTTACTTTCCTCCCCAATAACATATAGTTTCAGATCACATAGTATTCCTGCAGCTCTCCGGTGGTTAGAGAACAAAATGCATACGTGTGTCGCAATTGTAACAGACTCTGAAAGCATGCTGAGAAAAGTGAAGACAGGGATGCTTCGAGCAGAGTGGCAAGCTTCACTAGGAAGGTCACCGGTAGTGTGCATACGTTGGATCTTTTCTCCAGGCTATGCGTAGTGGGTAATGAACAGTCAGACAGATTGACTGGATCTGCACCACTGGGTGGTGAACTGATATATGACAAAGCAGATGTGGTCAAGGCCCATTGGGAACAAGCAACGGAATAAGTGAAGAAACAAGATTATGGCCTGGAGAGAATGAGGCACCTGGGTGTAACCAGAGGGTCTGGCTGGCTCACTACACTCAGAGGAAAGGCAATACAGACATATAACAAGATTGTGACTGGTACGATCAGTATTGCAACTCTGCGCTGGCTGCTGAAGATTGGGACAGAGCGCGCATGGAAATGGGAATGCCCCGAGTGCTGTGATGTCAATTCCTGACTCAACTCAACTCAACTTAGTATTCCTCTTCTTAACATTCACGTCTACTCCTATGGCAATTGGTTTCGGCAGCTGGCAATGGCGCCTAATAATACCATCTGGATATCCATTAGAAGAAATGGATATCCATTTTGTAATTTTTAAATTCTAATGGGTATCCAGGTGGTTTTATTAATTGCCCTTGCCAGTCGCTCAATTGCCATAGAAATGTTGGTGCCACACAAAAAAAGTGTATATCCATCTGATTTTTCATGCAGATGATGTTATGAAATGTTTAAATGGCCGGCACAAAACAGCAGTCAGTCAAGCTTTTCACGCAACCATGACATTTATCAGAATTAAAACCACCATAATTCCTACGCCACCAGTGAAAGGACCAGTGTTGACATATGCCATATCTAATGGTATATACCAATTTAAATGCACCTGTAATGGTACACATGTGGGTAGAACGGATCGACGACTGGAGAAACGGGTTGCTGAACATATTCATTATGGGCAATAAAAGCAATGCAGAACACTAACAACAACTCAACAACAACGAATCAGGGGACTGGTCAACATAATCCATCATCAGCAATTGCAGGCCATCTTCTAAATTCTGAGCACATGTTAAACAAGGCTGATGCATTTCAAATTATTTAAACGTCAGTCAACCTTAGATAACCGAGATATGCAGAAGCGTCTGCTCTCAGCAGGTTTAGACCAGAACTATGCAGATAATAGGGAATTCGTGTCACCTTGATGTTACCCTGGTGAAACTGTGAATGTCGTCGAACTTGTATTTCAGATTGAAGGATTCCTTTATTTGCTTCATTTTAATCAATTGTTACCGTAGTATGCACCTGACGAGATACAGCAAAATATACCAGGCAATAAATTGTGCAATCTTTTGTTTGTGTCTTCTTTCTTCAAATTCACAACGAGGAAACATTGGTTTAAAGTACTGATTTGACAAGAGAATTAAACAATTTAAGTTTATTATTAAAAGTAAAGTAAAGATTCCTTTTCACGCCTTAGGCGCATCGGGTACATGGGCAGAGCGTCCCATATTTTTACAGACCTCGGCACTGGATGGGTAATGTGGTCAGCATTACACGGGCCGTCTTTACTTCCCCAGGACAGCCCATCCTGGTACCCATTTTAGGCTGGGTCGACCTGCGACGCCCCATACCATGATAAAAATCCACGCAGCCAGAGTGGGTTTCGATCGCGGTATGTTGGATTACGAGCCGGACTCGCAACGCCTAAGCCACGGACGCCGCTGAGTTTATTATTATTAGTTTAAATTTCTTTTGACCTCCACAAATTCCCTAGTGCTTTGAAAGCTCTTCATGTCTTTTATTCGTATTTTACAGATATGGCTTATTTTTATGCAGACTGTTGGTTTTTCACCTCTCAGGCAGATGCACTCCAACTTCAAAGAAAACATCCCTAACTAGTCACATTCTGCAACATGCCTTTTGGGCCGTGAGACTACTCTTTTCTCCCCAAAATGGGGTCATACAACCAATATGGAAAACCCAGGTAGATGAGATGTGGCCAGGAAGGCATCAAAGTACTGGGTACTTACACAAATGGTTTCTCCCCTGTATGTGTCCGTATATGTTTGCGCAGATCACTCAGTGTTGTGAAGTACTTTGTGCACCCATCAGAGTCACACTTGAATGTCTCACCGGTGTGTAGTCGCTTATGAGCTCGTAATCTGGGTACACAATCATTACATTATTCCGAGGACATAATCATTACCTTAGGCAAGCATAAGCTAAGGATGCAATCATTACATTACACATTCTGAGGACATAATCATTACATTAAGCAATCACATTCTGAGGACACAATCAATACATTAGGTAAGCACCAAGCACATTCCCAGGACATAATCATTACGTTAAGCAAATACATTCTAGGATTTTTTTTTTTTTAAACAAACGCACACAAATGTTTGTGTGCAGAAAGAAAAAACCCAAATATCAACATCCAGAAAAGTGATAACCAGAAACTGATGTCGCCAGATCATAGATTTTGCTAATGAAACCAGTGTTCCTGACAAACTCAGACAGTAGGACACAGTGCCTGTCAGTGGATTTTGATACTAAAATTATAAGATGATGACAGTTCTTTTTCTCCGAATAGAACAATTCTGGAATATATAAAAGGGTTTCAGTGGGTTAGTGTGCCTGGCCAGAGGCACAGCGAGGGACTGTAATCTTAGATTATCCCACAAACATTTTGTGTTTTGAGAAAATCTGGGTGTTATGTTTACAATGGATTTTTCCAAATGGCCCACGACCAGGTTGATAATGCTTTAGATCAACTCATTCTGAGGATACAATCATTACCTTAAACATACACATTCTGAGGATACAATCATTACCTTAAACATACACACTCTGAGGATACAATCATTACCTTAAACATACACATTCTGAGGATACAATCATTACCTTAAACATACACACTCTGAGGATACAATCATTACATTAAACATTCACATTCTGAGGATACAATCATTACCTTAAACATACACATTCTGAGGATACAATCATTACCTTAAACATACACATTCTGAGGATACAATCATTACCTTAAACATACACATTCTGAGGATACAATCATTACCTTAAACATACACATTCTGAGGATACAATCATTACCTTAAACATACACATTCTGAGGATACAATCATTACCTTAAACATACACATTCTGAGGATACAATCATTACCTTAAACAAACACATTCTGAGGATTCAATCATTACCTTAAACATACACACTCTGAGGATACAATCATTACATTAAACATACACATTCTGAGGAAACAATCATTACCTTAAACATACACATTCTGAGGATACAATCGTTACCTTAAACATACACATTCTGAGAATACAATCATTTCCTTAAACATACACATTCTGAGGATACAATCATTACCTTAAACACACACATTCTGAGAATGCAATCATTACCTTAAACATACACATTCTGAGGATACAATCATTACCTTAAACAAACACATTCTGGAGAAGTAACTATCACATTATGCAAATGCATTCTCAGGACAAAAACTCTAGGGATTTATCATTACACACAAAAAAAAACATGAAGACATAATCATTTTAATAAACAAACAGGTACTAAAAATACAATCATTACACTAAGTAAACATTCTTAGGATACAATTATTACATTCAGTACCGATCCTCAGGACACAATTATTACATTTAGCAAACCTCTTCAGGGCACAATCATTACATTCAGCAAACACATTTTTCAGACACAAGCATTACTTTCAGTAAATATATTCTCAGAATTAAATCATTACATTCAGCAAACATGTACTCTGGACACAATCATTACATTCAGCTAACATCCTCAGGACACAATCATTACGTCGTCTTCTTCTTTTATGCTGTGCCTCTTTACAGCATAACTGGGATATTTTTGTCTTTTGCCGACACGTCTGACTTTATCTGGCATTTGTTCACCGGTTTAGACTTCCCGGTTAAGTTCAGGTGGCATGGTGGAGCCTTAGTTGTGTGGTTGCCTCTTTATCACTTTATCTACAGGGGTTGTTCCTAGAAAACCCGCCCCAGGCAGCCACAGGTAGACTGGTCGGCCCTCAGGGAAAGGCAGGGGCAGAAGACGGGCATTCCTCACCACCCAAGGAGGCTTCCATAAACGCATGGTCAATGCAGCAATGCCGGCTCAGAGGCATATACAGGGATTTGTAATGGACAGAGATGCCAGATTAGTGGCATTAGGGGGTCAAAGGATTAAACAGTAAAGAAAACACTGGCATGAAATATGACATTACCTGTAAATTGTATTGAAAGACTTTTCACAGCCAGGTTTATCACAGTTATAAGGCTTCTCGTTGGTGTGGACTCGAACATGGATCTTCAGTGAGTATGATGTGAGGAATCGCTTCCCGCAGCCAGACTCGCTACATATAAATGTAAGTTCTCCTGTGTAGAGAAGGAAAAAATTGATACACACTGTATCCTCATAAAGCCAAATATATGGTACAAATTATTTGACATCAACATGCCTTTAAAACGGCTATTTCAACAAATGATCCATGACCATTCCCGCCCAGGTGATGTGATTATCTATACAGATGGCTGTGTGTTGGGAGGTAGACAAAGTGCATGGGGGTTCATAGCAAAAGCTAATGGACATTGCTTAGTGCAACAAAGCCTGGCATATGTTATCACAATGTCTAGTTTGAGAATGGAGGTGGAGGTAGTCATTGCTTGAGAATCAGCTGCACACATGTGTTGTAACTGTAGCTCACAGAGCATGTTGAGGAACATGGAGACAGGCATAATCCATGCAGAGTGGCAAGCATCGTTTCAGACGTGCCAGGTAGTAGGCGTCCTTTGGATATTTACTCCAGTGTGATGGGAAACGAGCAGGCAGATCGACTAGCCGGTTCTGCACCACTCGTTAGTAAACTGATCTATGACAAGCCAGATGATGTAAGGGCCCTTTGGATGTGAGTGAACAGTGCGAAAACACAAACAGATCATTTTGGTCTGAGGAGATTGGCCTTGCGAGGAGTTACCAGGGGATTTGGCCGACGCTCAACATTCACGGGAAAGGCAAGACAGGTACATAATAAGACAGTTACTGATGCCGTTTGAATTGGAACTCTTCGCTTGCTGCTGAAGATAGGGGCGGAGCACTTATGAGTCCTGAGTGCTGTGATGTCAATTCTTAATTCAACATTTAACATAAAACAGCTATTTGGCTCCAACTGAAAACCCCATAAATGCTTTTATTTTCGTTTATGTATTCATATCCTGACCTCCTAAATGTCTGCACAGATGCAAACACAGCCAATAGCATTAACTATACGTCTGGTAAATGGGTCACTGTAGACAAGACAGAAAAGTGACATATACCAGGAATCGTACCCAAACATAAGTGTCAGTTCTGCCCTTTCTCAAGGCACAAGGGTTAACACAATAGCTGGTTACAGTCTTCATTACAGAAGTTCAGCTGTAAAAATCTTCGTCTTCGTGTTCACTGGCTGTAAACTTCGGAAAGTTCTGGTTGTTTGTCCACCTCTGGATTTTGTCTTGTTCCAGAACTTGAGCGTTGTGTGCACATCCACGGCGGGGAATGGAGAGTGGGAAGCAACAACAAAATTCACATCTGTCTAAATCACCACTGATCACTGGCATCATGAGGGCTAATAGACTGAAATAGCTGGTGCATACTGAAAGAATGTCAGATGACAGAAAAAGAAAAACTATATGCAAGGGAGATGGATGGTCGTAGACCACGAGACAGAACAAGAAGATCTATCCAGGTAGACCTACAAACACTTGGTGCCACCAAGTGGAAAGAGAAGGCCAACCAGAGCGATGAATGGAGGCAGGTGATATCTGCAGCAATGAACCTCAAGGCTCAGAATGCTGAAGAAGAAGAATAAATATATAAAGATACATAAAGGGGTAAAAAGTAACCATGAAGAGAGTGAAGCATTCAATTTAATACATCCCCCCAGAGAAATGCATCAGGTGATTCATGCCATGACCCCATGCCCTGTATCATTAAGGCTTACAGGAAATTCTGACAAAACCTGGCTTTCAAAAAGTCATTAAGGTCATAAAGTAATCCCTCTAAATGCTATTTTTTATTACTATATTTATATCCTGGCCTTTTAAAAATAGTACAGGCGCACACAGGACCAATGGAATTTAACAATGCTTTCTGAGAACAGGTCACTGCAGAGTTGGTCATATATTGGCATTTATAGGAATGTTGCACAACTGGAAGTGACTAGATTAAGGGACCAGAATGCTGAAGCAGAAGATCTGGTTCTATCCCAATATCTCCCCCCCCCCCCCCCCCCCCCCCCACAGACAGTCGAATATTTTAGAGGGTGGTAGATAGGCTGCATGCAGTCTTGGTACCTAGGCTGCACTCTCTCGTGGAACGTAGGTTGGGGTTAGGCCCAGTTCTAGATGTTTTGGGGTAGTTAAAAGCATCAGAAAGCCGGGAAACCCTCTCTTACCACCCTCAAAAATATTGGACTGTCCCGTGTCATCATCCTGGTGGGGAAGGGGGGGGGATATTGGGATAGTATCAAAGATCCTCCTCATAACATGTTAAAATACTGACTGTCCATATCCAATTTTTCTGATCAGTCTACAACTTTCATGTCTTGAGCTGAGCTGCCACATTTCATTTTCTGTCATTCCACGATATTCTTCTTTTTCTTCGTGTTTCCCGGCTGTAACCTCTGGCGGAAGGTTCTGATTGTTCGTCCACTTCTGGACCCTAGTCCTGTTTTAGAAACTGATTTTCGCGTGCACATCCTACTTTGAAGGAAGCTCCGAATTAGTCGACTCTTATAACATGCTTTTAAGCAGGCAGTAGGTCAATTCTTGTTGTCCCCACAATGTGGCTCCATAACCCACACAGGGAATTCTGTGATATTATTTGTATTCTTCAAAGAAACAAAACAAACATTTCAGCTGTGAGTGAATGTTTAACTGTACATACTGGTGTAAAACAGCATGACTGAGCACTGATTTCAGAAAGGAATAAAAAACTAAAGACAAATAATGCATAGACCAACCTCGATGTGTTTTCTCATGGGTTTTCAGGTTTCCCGGTGTACTGTAAGTTCTGGCACAACCAGTGTAGTGGCACCTGAATCTGGAAAATAAAGACATACATCAAAGCTAAGGTGTCTCATCAGAAAGGTGTTTAAACACATAACATAAATTATAATTCTTCTTCTTCTTCTTCATTCACTGGCTGTGAATTCCGGCGGAAGGTCCTGGTTAATCATCCGTTTGAACTTTTGGCTTTTACCTGGACCTGAGTTTTGCGTGTACAGCCGTTTTACTGGCTTTTGCCGTATCTGCCTCACGGGCAGATGTACTCTGACTTCGAGTGAGGACGTCAGGCCTATTTCTAGGATGACTGTGGCCATTGTTTTGTGTGGGTAGAGATGTTGCCTTATTTGTGTGGTGTTCTCTTTGTCCCTTTCTCCACAGGTGTTGCCCCGGTAGTACACCAATTGGGGCAGCCCTGTGTGGAACAGTTAGCCCTCAAGGGAAGGCAGGGGCAGATCATGGGCATTCCCTGCCATCCAAGGAGGCTTCCATAAATGCAGAGCCGAAACATAATGGTCTGGTTCTGGGCTCACCCAAGGAATCGTCACGTCCTGCACATAACTGCTTAACCTCACAACCGAATTAGTCTTCTCGCTCGACACAGGCTGCGCCCTCCGGAGATCAACGGGGAGCAGCCAGTCGGTTCTGGACTTTTGTGACCACACGAATAGGTACAATCTTTTTCTTCGCACGATTGTCATCTTTAGCGTACTGTTAGCACGACAGAATGGAGAATCCTGTGTCAGGCATTTCTTTATCTGTTTGGTCCCAAACACTCGGGTGAGTGGGGTCTCGGGATGTGGACATTTGGACTTTTCGCCAATCAATATGATTTATGATTATCGGATTTTGAGCTTGCTCGTGTGCCGTAGGATCAATTTTTGTCGGACATTTGGGCTTAACCAGCCGATGGATGGTTGCTGTCTTGGTGTACCTCAGCACGGTGGCGATGACACTGAGGGTTGACAGAGGATGTACAGGGGTAGAATCTTGCTACGAGACGCCACCCACAGGAGATGTTACTCATCTGTGCTGCAGGTAAATCTCTAGGTCAAGGGTTGAGTCTCAGCAACACAATGTTCTCTTCACCCCACAAACTTTTAACCGAGGGTTGTCATTTTAGTTGTACGTTTGGCAAGCACTTTACTCATGTTCCTTATGAGTTTTGATAAGCTTTTCACCCATGCGTTTGGGGGGCGGGCTGATAGGAGCCACAAGGACACTGCACCTCTGGGGGCCGCTAACTCCGAGATCGACTGACAGTTAATGCTCATTTGAGGCATTATCCGTGGCGCACGATGAGGACGTGCTGCAGGAGTCTTGCGTGAGGTTCCGTAAAACCAGAACAGTGCAGAACTGGTGCCCGAGTGATGTACGGAGTAACTCCTTATACACATCACGTTGGGCTTAACTTTACCTCATGCCTGTGACAGAAATCACTGCGCCACAAATTAGAATTAAAATGTGCAGCATGATGGGTTTACAGACAGGTTCTTAGAATACCATGGAGCAATAAAAAAGAAAAACATCAACATCTAGTATGACTTGAACATCAAGGAGAACTGCCTCGCAAACAGCATCATGTCCTGAAAGCTGAGGTATTTTGGACATGTCAAGTGCCATGGTGGTTTGGAGAGAATGGTGATGGAGGGAGATGGAGAGTGATAGAGGGTGCACTTCCAGAAAATGAAACAGAGACCGACCTCTGCTAAAATCTAAAATATAGTTTTTGTAGTTGGTGAATCAAACAGTATTTCTATTCTTCTTCTTAGATTTCACCAGTTTGAAACACAGGTAGAAAGTTCTGGTCATTCATCCATTTCCTGGACTTTTGTCTTGTTCCAGAATGTGAATTCTGCGGGCATATTCATTTTACAGATCCAGATTATTTGTATGCAAACTGTTGGTTCCTCACCTCTCAATAAGATGCCTTCCACTTTAAAAGAAATGCCCTTTGATTAGTTACCTTTTATGACATAACTGTTGGAGAGAAATTGGAGGGGATGTCTATTCCCCCCCCCCCACCCAAAAAAATGGGGTCCAAGGACCCATTCGGGGAGAACTGCAGAGTTCAAGCTTTGTGCTATTCTCTCAGGAAGTTCTAGACAGTGACCAAGCCACATGGGGAGAACTACAGAGTTCATGCTTTGTGCTATTATCTCAGCAAGTTCTAGACAGTGACCAAACTACATGGGGAGACCTGCAGAGTTCAAGCTTTGTACTATTCTCTCAGCAAGTTCTAGACAGTGACCAAGCCACATGGGGAAAACTACAGAGTTCTAGCTTTGTGCTATTATCTCAGCAAGTTCTAGACAGTGACCAAGCTACATGGGGAGACCTGCAGAGTTCATGCTTTGTGCTATTCTCTCAGCAATTTCTAGACAGTGACCAAGCCACATGGGGAGAACTGCAGAGTTCATGCTTTGTGCTATTCTCTCAGCAAGTTCTAGACAGTGACCAAGCCACATGGGGAGAACTGCAGAGTTCATGCTTTGTGCTATTCTCTCAGCAAGTTCTAGACAGTGACCAAGCCACATGGGGAGAACTGCAGAGTTCAAGCTTTGTACTATTCTCTCAGAAAGTTCTAGACAGTTATCAAGCCACATGGGGAGACCTGCAGAGTTCAAGCTTTGTGCTATTCTCTCAGCAGGTACTAGACAGTGACTATTTACAATAGATACAAGTGTATAACTAACTAACTACCTTGTCACCTCCTTGAGTTTTGTCTTGGGATTTTGGCTTTCCACAGTCAGAGTTGCATGTGAGGGATTCAAAGGCATACGACTACTACCAGGGTTTATCCGCATCAGAATTTCATCTTCCGATATTGTATGATGAATATAGCTGTGGACAAAAAATATGGATATAAGGTATTTTTAATAGTAAAACTATACAAAATCTGTCGTACTGTTCACAGGACAGTCCAACCTGGTCATAAATTCACCCCCTCAAGTTGCCAGGGAATATAAGAGAAGAATCGAATACTAATACATACAAAACTTTTTTCTGGTGGATAAGCACAATGCTGAGTGTGTTCAAAGAAGTGAAAATTTACCTGATCAGATGTTTTTAGCAAATGTCTCCTTCTCACTGGCTGTAAACTCCGGCGGGAAGTTTTAGTTGTTTATCCAATTTTGGGTTTTAGTTTTTTCCCCAGAACCTGAGCTGTGCATGCACATACATTTTACAGATGTGACCTAACTATGCAGACTGTTGGTTCCTCACTTCTCAGGCAGATGCCCTCTGACTTTGAGAAAGACATCCCTAATTAGCCAACTCTTACGACTTGCTTACCAGGCTGCAGTGGGTCTAATATTTTTTCAAAAGAATAGACTTTACCGCTTCCCCCCCACCCCCCCAAAAAAAGCATGCCATAAAAACCAACTAATTGGGCGGGGATAAGGGGGCAGTTCAAAGTTGGAATACATCTGTGTGAGAGGTTAGGAGCCAACAGTCGGCACGTAAACAAGCCAGATCTGTAAAACGGATATGTATGCAAATCTCAAGTTCTGAAACAAATCGCAGGTCTGGAAGGGGACAAACAACCAGAACCTTCCGCCGGAGTTTAGGACCAGTGAATGCTAAAAAAAAAAAAAATTAACTTATATACATTCCCTGGGGCACAAAACCAAATTTATCTGGTGACTTATGATGTGACCCCACGACCTCTATCAGTGAGGCTTACAGAGAAATTTACCATCAACTTGGCTTTCAAAAAAGCCATTGAGGTCATAAGGAAGCCTCTCTAAATGCCACATTTAGTTAATATTTTCAAGTCTTGGCTTATTAAACGCTGTCACCATATAGACTGCGGGGCCCCTTTTGTGGGAGAAACAAGATCAGACCCACTGCCTCCCCAACAAGCATGTCCTAAGTGTCGACTAATTGGGGGCTTCCTTTAAAGTCGGAGTGCATCTGCCTGACGGGCAAGGTATGACAGTCTGCACACACACACAAAAGTCAGATCTGCAACACTCAGGTTCTGAAACAAGACTAAAGTCTAGAGGTGGATGAACAACCAGAACTTTCTGCTGGAGTTTACAGCAGGTGAACATGAAAAAGAAGACTAAATGCTGCACGAGCACACAATGGAATGTAATTATGCTTTTTGAGATCAGGTCACAGCAGAAATGGGCAAATATCGCATGGTCTCGATGCAAGGCATCCGCTTCGAGTGCTGGAGGTCCCAGGTTAAAGCCCTGGTGAAGGCTGGGATTTTTTCACGTAGACTTCTAGTAATTTCCCCTGGTCTCTGGGCAGTAAGATTGGACGCCCGTGTGTATTGTTGCGCACGTTAACAAAAAAATCCCATGGCGGTTGGAAATGGAAAAGATTAGCCTAACGGTGCTGCCCGGGCAAAATTTTGAGTTAGAAATTTACTTAAAGTATTTCAGGATCCTCGCCGGTGCTACGGAGCTCGTGCACTGCGCTGAGATTCTTCAGACTCAGGCCTGAGTCAGAAGTAGAACGGAGCACTTATAGATAACTACCCTTATGCCATGATGTTGATCTGTGGTCTAAACCTAATATATCAGCATTTACAGGGATATGACAGGACCGGGTGTGACCCAGTTTAGCCTTCTCAGGCGACAGGGTTAACCCAGGTTACTCATATCATTAAAAAAATTAATGCAAAGCTGTCTGCTATCAAATCACCTGCAGCTGATTTTTAACTCTGATATGTCCATATGGTGAACCTGCACTTAGAACCTCTAAACAACGAATTCCCAAACCATGGGTCACAACTCCAAGCAGATGGGGTTTTCTTAGGGGGGGGCGTCGCCAGGCAGTGGTGAGTTATGAAAATTTGAAAAGCAAAAACACACACCAAATATATTTTTGACATGTATTCATTTACCCTATAAAAATCTACTTTTTAATGTATGAGGTTGTGGGTCACTTTGCCTCTATGTCATTTACAGAATACTACAAACTTTTCAAAATAAACATCTAGGGAGAGAATCTTGCAACTAGTTTGGCCACACCAGGATTACCTAAGGAAAGCTGGAGGACCGACAGTAGCAAGGGAAAATTGGGAATGTAAAACTAAAATGGCATGGGATACCACAGGCAGCAATCGAGAACACTTGTGAATACCTTATGTAGGTACTTCAGTCAGGAAAAGTGACCCGTGACCTTATTTATTTTTTTTTAACTTATAAAACCGGTAAAGCTGGATGCATATTTAAAAATGTCTTTCCAACGGTAACTCTTTCATGCCTGTATGTCAATTCTAAGCCGAGCTATCAAAGTCTTTGTGAAAATGATAAACTAAAAATTAAATTTGATGATAGAATCCCTAATGCAAAGCTTTGGGAGAGAACTCAACAAGTGCCAGTGGACCAAGAGGTGAAGAAAAGGTGCTCGTGTTGGATAGGACACACGCTGAGAAAACCTGAGAATAATGTAACTAGAATATCTTTGCACTAGAACCCACAGAGGCATAGAAATAAAGGAAGACAACAACAAAACTCACGGAGAAATTAGCTAGAGAGTGAAGTAAAAAGCTGGGGAGGACATAGGGAGAGCTGCATGCGACAAGAAGGATAGAATGACTTGGCGTGTGTTTGTTTAGGGCCTATAAAAAATAAACAATGAAAGCGCATTCAAAAATTGCTGTCCAGAAATGTTTTGTCTCTCAGGCGTGTTTAAAACTGCTTTAACTTTTTAAGTATTAAGTATTATAAGTTTCCCGTGTGGATTTCAGGGCCCCATTGTGGGGAAAAGACCCATTGCCTCCTGAAAAAGCATGTTGCATGAGTCGACTAATTGAGGGCATCCTTTGATGTCAAAGTGCATCTGCCTGAGAGGCAAGAAACAAACAGTCTACATACAAGAAACAAACAGTCTACATACAAGAAACAAACAGTCTACATACAAGAAACAAACAGTCTACATACAAGAAACAAACAGTCTACATACAAGAAACAAACAGTCTACATACAAGAAACAAACAGTCTACATACAAGAAACAAACAGTCTACATACAAGAAACAAACAGTCTACATACAAGAAACAAACAGTCTACATACAAGAAACAAACAGTCTACATACAAGAAACAAACAGTCTACATACAAGAAACAAACAGTCTACATACAAGAAACAAACAGTCTACATACAAGAAACAAACAGTCTACATACAAGAAACAAACAGTCTACATACAAGAAACAAACAGTCTACATACAAGAAACAGTCTACATACAAGAAACAAACAGTCTACATACAAGAAACAAACAGTCTACATACAAGAAACAAACAGTCTACATACAAGAAACAAACAGTCTACATACAAGAAACAAACAGTCTACATACAAGAAACAAACAGTCTACATACAAGAAACAAACAGTCTACATACAAGAAACAAACAGTCTACATACAAGAAACAAACAGTCTACATACAAGAAACAAACAGTCTACATACAAGAAACAAACAGTCTACATACAAGAAACAAACAGTCTACATACAAGAAACAAACAGTCTACATACAAGAAACAAACAGTCTACATACAAGAAACAAACGGTCTACATACAAGAAACAAACAGTCTACATACAAGAAACAAACAGTCTACATACAAGAAAGTCAGATATGTAAAATGCATGTGCAAGCAACACTCAGGTTTTGGACCGGACCAAGACTAAAGTCCAGAAGTGGATAAACAACCAGAACTTTCCGCTGCAGTTTACAGCTGGTGAACGTGAAGAAGAGTATTATAAATAGCATGAAGATTTTATGGACAGATTTACAGGAAATCACAACCAATTCTGGCATCTGTTGGTAGTTTGCAACTTTACTGGGTAATTTTACATAGACACAAATTATGGAAAGTAATGGCTCGATATGGGGCAACTGAAAACCTCATTGAAGTTTGCAAAAGCCTATACAGAGACTGCAGAAGTGTAGTTAGAATAAATCAGGGAACATCAAAACAATTCAAAGTAACATACGGAGTAAAACAGGGACGTGTCTTATCACCAACACTGACAGTATAAGCAAGGATACCAGGCCTAGCAACAAAAATAATAGCTCTTTGCTGACAACCAGGCCTTGATTGCAGATACAGCCATGAATTTGCAACAACATCTCACATCCATTAATAAAGAATTTAAATCAAATAATATGAGAATCAACATCAAAAAGACAGAAGTAATGTCAATATAAAGAAACTAACAAAATACAAATATAGCATCAGAACATATATACATTAAACAGGCATCTGAGATTAAATATCTTGGATCAACATTCACTGAAGATGGTAAACTGGATGAAGAAATTGACATCAGATGCAGTAAAGCAGGCCTGTATAGGGACAGCTATACCCCCTCTTACAGCATAAGGCAATCCCAATCAGCACAAGGAGACATCTCATACAAAGCATATTCATTCCCACCCTATGCTACCAGTGCTAGACGTTATCACTCACAACAGAACATAAAAGAAAATTAATAACCATGGAAATAAGGTGTCTTAGAGAGATTGTAGGAGTGACCAGAAAAGATAAAATCAGGAATGAGGTCATACAAGATAAAGTCAGCACAGAACCAATTCTAAATTACATACAAAGATAGCAAGGCAAATAGTTTGCCTACCTGGAAAGAAAGCCTTCTGATGCTATGCTATACCATACAAGGGATATCATATATGGGCTACCCTCCAAATAACGGGCACATATTATGGCGGCCAAAAATACACCCTGACAGGGCCTCAGTCACATGTAAATTGGGGACTTTCAGGAGACTTATTATGGTCTTCCGGTGACGTAGAGGGGGGCTAAACTAGATGACTGGGGCTTACGAGCAGCAGCTACCGCATCTCCTGCAGCTTCCTCCATTTTATTTGCTTGTGATTTCCAGCCATCTAATTTAGCCCCGCTCCATGCCACGCGTAGCGGTGTGGGAGATACTCTCGGCGATGGCGTCAGTCGCCAGAAGTCCACACTTTTACATGTGACTGAGGCCCTGTCAGGGTGTGTTTTTGGCCGCCATAATAATATTATGGGGCTGTAGTTTTTCTGACTTCCCATCTACCTTTTTCTCTACGTCATATTTAAGCCTATCCTCCGAATAATAGGCACATATGTGCCCATTATTCGGAGGATAGGCTTAAATATGACGTAGAGAAAAAGGTAGATGGAAAGTCAGAAAAACTACAGCCCCACGATGTGTCTATGGTCAAAGCAGCCAGAACAGCACGAAGCAGGACCATGACACCCAAAGTAGTAAAAGAGGAACAACAACAACGTTTCATGAAGTTTACAGACTTAAGGATAATTTTAATATTATTCATTTATAATTTATTCAATTATTTATTTACTTTTTCAGAAGAGAAAAATCATATCTGCAGGTACTAGTAGTAGTAGATAAAGCCTCAGTCAAAGTGCCATCCCATTATTAGAAGAAGCTTCAATTTCAATCAAAGTGCCACCCCATTATTAGTGTGAAACTCAAAGCACATTATAACGATGCCAATGGTTTATAAATACAGTACACGGGTATTTTACTATTTACGTTTTAGATTTAGATAAAGTACTACTCACTTCTGACTGCTGTAGATAAGAACTAAAGCCACTAAAGGTCAATGGCGAAGGAATACAGTCATCTCACAACTTTAATAAACTTACCCATCACTCGTATCATTCTCACCGTCGTCAGCATTTTCTAATTTCAGCCGTTTTCCCGAATTCGTCACAAAATATCCATCTCCGGCACGTCGAGCGGCTAATTCCTCCTCCTTGACGTTCACTACCCCGTCCTCCTGGTCGTCATCGTCTGGATCGTGGTCAACACACACTTGAGTGATTGAACTCGAGTCCTGTAAGTTCTCTTCGTCTTCGAATTGAAAAAAGTCATCGAAATCAACAGCACAGTTATCATTTTCAAATTCGGTGTAGTTTTCCATGGTGAAAATGACTTTCTAGCGGGTAAAAATCAACGACATTTCAAGTCGTTTGTGTATTTAAAACGGCAAAACCACTCTCTGAAAGGCATTACCAAACGAGCCTGTAGGAACATTAGAGACGATGAAACCTTTTAAAACAAGGCATAATTAGCCAAGTCTGTAAAGGTTAACACCTAACTCACATCCTATCTCTATACTTTCTTCTATGAAAGCTAATCAATACATGTCAATTTGTTATTATAGAAGGATAAACTGAAACCATTCGATAGAAGTACAAGAAGGCATTACTAACCGAGCCTTAACACAACTAGGGCTGCAATTGGGATTTTTATTAAAACCCAAGACGAGGCCAATAAAACCCAAGAAATGAATAAACAAAAATAGGAAACCCAGGATTGTCAAATAGTAGTTTATAGTTATGAAACTAAAAATTTACTCACTTTTATTAGAATTTTACTATAACATCTCTCCTTACTAGCAAATTTAAGTCGTCACCATCTCTTTCTGTTTTCCCAGTCTCTTTAAATATTTTTTTACCAACAGCACCAATTTGCAAATCGTTTAACTAACATTTCTTCATTCGGTGTCCATGTTGTACAGTCGTCATTGCCTCTAATGATTGCTTCTCTTGCAAGAATTCCATTCTTCACTCTGGTTGCTTTCAAAAAAAATTTTAAAAAAAAAAGAATTTGTTTGCTTGGCTTTACAAAGTTCTTTCGGGAAAATATGCGTTCGACTGCTCCTGAAAGAAGTGGCAAACTAGTTAGGTTGGTCATGAAATCTGCTGAAATGTCATATTTTGAATTGTGCAAACCATCTTAGTGCTTTCTAAATTATACAAATATATTGAGTAACGTTTTCTGAATCAGTTAGTAAATTTGCAGTATTCATACGTTTACTTCTCCGTTTCTTCTACTTTCTACTTTTGTTCCCTTGAAATATATTCCTATATCTGCAATGTTGTCTCAAGTATGAAACTTTACTATCTGTTGTAATTCACTCAGCAACCCGTAAAGTAAGGCTTCCACAGATATTTCTTTTGGCCTAAAGTTTTGCCTTGATTTGTTATATTTGGGAGGCTCTTAGAGGACGTGAGCTGTTGTCTCAGTTCCTGATCCACGTGTACACATGGCTGATCTGCCAATCTTAAATGTTTTGTGCATGTGCCTGCAAAGTCGATTGTGCCCTGTTACTTCCCCATTTATAATTTAAATCATTGCAACTTTGTTCTGGTACAAGTGAAGGAAAATTAACTGCCAGTAGGCTAATTGATGCTGGAGACATGTTTTTTAAATAAAGGGATGTAATAGATCTAATACATAAATTCTTGCAACGAAGCTGTCCATTAAACTGTCCAACAAAGCTATCCTCGGTAGTCCTCACTGAAAACAAAATCGTTTCCTAAATTGATGACAGAGTTCAACGAAGAATTTCAACTCTTTCAGTCCCAATCTTGTTGTTACTTCAACTTTTTCTACCCCAAAGTGTTTAGCCTAAAAAGCAGTAAATATTTTGGCCCTAAGGAGTTGAGCATAGACACTATATAAAATATATCCTTTTTAGAAAGAAATTTTTTGTTTTTTGAAGCCCCACCCTGGCTTTCGCCAGGGGCCGCAATATAAGCAGGTCATAAATATGGCCAATTGTCTGAACGCGGTTTCTGGGACCTCTCCACGGCGATCCTTATCCATATGGTGGCACTTTGTGTCATCGGGTGTTTATCGCTTGTGTGATGTCCTGGTGGGGTAGAAAGTCAGTTAGTCAGACTATAAAACATAAGAAGTTGAAATAGTAATCTAGACAATAAGGAATGCTATGACATTCTTCTGTGACAGAGGACAGCTGGTCAGTTATATTATCGTTGCACTGATCCAGAAACGCATGGCGAGTGGTTTGGGGCTGAAAGAGCACTTTTGAAACTTGTTTTTTTTTTTTTCTTTTTTATCAAAGGGTTCATTATTAAGATGCGCTGGTACTTTTCCTCCTAGAATAATGTCATTTAGTTTCCTGTAATTGCTTTGAATGCCAGAGTGTACAGCTGGTGGAGGCGAAGAAGAAGAAGAAGATGACCAGGTTATGTGTGCCCATATAAAAGAGCTCAGCCTTGCACGCCACCAAGAGTCCCGACTCAAACCCCAAGATTTTCAGTGATTCGGAAAAAAAATCAAGATCTTGGGGGAAAACCCAGCACTGGCAGCCCCGAGTCCGCAACAAGTCCAACTCTGTAAAACTGCATTGGATTGGATGTTGTATCTGGTAATTTAACGTAGGAAAACGACGTTCTCCGAAAATTACCAGAAATATTGAGCTATTCGGTATATGCTGCTCTATATTGTTAGCTCCCAGTTTTATCGGTATGTGATGTGGTCAGTAACATTTCAAATAATTTTACTCCTTTTAGTGCCTATTTTGTAGGCGTCTGTGGCTTAGACGTTGCGAACGCGCTTCGTAATGCCGGGTTCGATCCAGCAGTAGGCCTTGCGTCTTGCGTTGGTTTCGACACTGGTATCGCGAAGCCGACCATCCGTAAGCAATGGCAAACTGCTGGACGTGAAGTTTGCCTAGAAAACCACAACAGCTAAAAAATGCTGGGGTTGGTTCTGCAATGTCCTGTAAAGGATACGCAACTAGCCTTTTAGTGCCTATTTTAGACTGAGTTTTCTCGTGTGGGTTCTGAGGCCCCTTGTGGGGGTGGGGGTGGGGGAATTGTCACTTATTCTCACCTAACAAATATGTCGTAAGAGTACACCAAGAGTGCTTTATTCGAAGTCAAAGTGTATCTGCCTGAAAGGCGAGGAACCAACAGTCTGCACACACAAAAGTGAGCCATGTAAAGCGAATGTACTCAAGTTTATTTGGAACATGACCACTAAGTCCAGAACTTTATGCCAGAGTCTACAGCCGGTGACTGCTAAAAAGAATAAACCTGGTGTCTATGGTGGGCGTTATATTATTATACAATAGTTTTTCTTCTGCCAGTTTTCAGTCAGTGGAACCAAAACTTAGTTTAAAAACTGCTGTGAGTGAAAAACAAAAACAGTTCAATAAAGCAGTTCTGGAAAAGCTACAAATGAAAAGAGAATTACTGAAAGAAATCCAAAATTAAAAATACAGTTGAAATACTTTGGCTACATTAAAAGATACAAAACACTTTTTAAAACCATATTGGAGGGAAAGGTTGAAGGTAAGAGAGCAAGAGGTGGGCAACGATACAAGTGGGAAGACAACACTAAGAGATGGGTGGGCTCGGTCGTGAGTGGAAACAAAAACAGCCAAATAAAGCGGTTTTTAAAAAGCTACAAATGAAAAGAGAATTACTGAAAAAAAAGAGACAGTTGAAATACTTTAGCCACATTAAAAGACACAGCACACTTTTTAAAACCATATTGGAGGAAAAGGTCGAAGGCAAGAGAGCAAGAGTTGGGCAACGGTACAAGTGGGAGGACAACATCAAGAGATGGGCAGGCAGCAGTCTGAGAAAGTGTGCAACCAGGACAAGAGACAGAGCGTGTTGGAGTTCCACTGAGGCTAACCTTCAGTGTGGAGACGGCAAATGATTGATTGACTGAGTGGAACATACGCCCTCACCCAGCCCACGCCAGGCCTTCCTATCTTTTACTTCTTTGTTCACCGGCTGTAAGCTCGGGCGGAAAGTCCTGGTTGTTTGTCCAAATGGACTTTGGTTTTATGCCAAGGTCTGACTTGTGCATGTACATCTGTTTTACTGGCTTATGTGTGTGTAGCTGGTTGTTTCTTGCCGCTCGGGCAGGTCACTCTGTGAAGGAATCTCCCAGTTAGTCCACTCCTGCTACATGCTTATTGGGGAATCAATGGGCCTTTTCTTGTTTACCAACTGTGTGGCCTTTGAATCCACACGGGGAAGTCATCCCATCTTTTGCCATCACATGCAGCTAACTCATTTTTCTCTCCACTTCTCCATTGAGGGGTCTGCGTGGTCTGGTGGCATGGTGTCCGCCTCGAGTGCTAGAGGTTCCGGGTTCAATCCCCGGTAAGGGCTGGGATTTGTTCACGGGGACTTGGACTTCTAGTAATTCCTCTGGTCTCTGGGTAGTGAGATCGGACGCTCGTGTACATTGTTGCGCACGTATAAAAAAAAAAAAAACGGGGGCAAAATTTTGAATTAAAATATACCCAAAGTATTTCAGGATCCTCGCCGGTGCTACAGAGCCTGTGTACTGTAGCGAGCTTCTTCGGACTCGGTCTTGAGTTAGAAGAAGAATGAAGCACACATGGGTTACACCCATGTGCCATGATGTTGATCCGTTGTTCAAAACCTCAAACCTCCACTTATTTATGTCATTCTCTGGTTCACCTGACCATCTTTGTCGGTTGTGTCTTAGGTGTTGGGAACGCGCTTTGTAATGCTGGGGGGGGGGGGGGGGAGGCTGTTCGATCCCAGCTGCGGACGACTTGAAGGTTGACAGTTTTGTGTTGGTTTCGACAGTGGTACCGAGAGCCAACCGGTCAGCTAGCAATGGTAAACGACTGAACGTCAAATGTGTCTAAAAAACGCAACAAACAAAATTACTTGGGTTGGTTCTGTAAAGAAAACAGCTGTTCTCAAACTGGGTGCCACAGCACCCAGGGGTGCCGCGAGCGTATGTCAGGGGTTCCGCGAGCGTATGTCAGGGGTGCCGCGAGCGTATGTCAGGGGTGCCGCGAGCGTATGTCATGGGTGCCGCGAGCGTATGTCAGGGGTGTCGCTGCAATAATCAAAAATATTTTGTTTAATCTGCTTGAGATTAGTGAAAACATCAGTTTAAAACAGAAATACCATGAAGGAAACCAAGAAGAATTATGGATGCAGGTGTGTTCAGAAAACAATGCTATTGACCATGCTGAAGTGCATTCTGAACGTACGCTTATGTTAAAAAAAAACAAAAAACAGATAGAGTAGCATTCTTCAAATGATTCGAAGGTACAATTAACTAAACTTCCCTTAAACATAAAGGAGGAAATAATGAAAAATTCATCCAAAC